AAACACATGTGCTCCTGGTCAGGATATGCCTTATTTATTTATATACTAGACGGGTGACCCGGGATAGACCCGTGTGCATATCTACCCGAGTGATATATATTTAGATAAGATTTTTTAAATAATTGTTTGTTATTAGCATTATCTATTTGTTTGCATCAGCATAATTTAATCTAATCTTTGATAGAGAGCGCTGTTCGTGAGCTAAGTAGAATAATTTGAATATATAGTTTTAATAATTGATTTATATATTTTTTAAAATAGCCTATCGTCTTCCCCGTATTTTTTTACCTATGTATGGAAATTTTGGCTTGAATTAGTGAACTACTGCGAATTTGTATACCGGACATACAAACAAACAAACAAACATACAAACATTCATTTTTTATATATACGAGTATAGATATATATATATATTAAGGAGACAGATGCAATTTTGTTAACACTTGATTATCTCGTGTGTCTTCAATAAAAGTCACTGTAAAATATTTCAGAGTTATTGTCTGAATCCCGTTATACATACTGAAAGGTACAATTTTCTTAAGTTTTGTCCATGAGTGGATATGTCAAAGTAAGCACATAACACCACCCACCAAGACCCCGGTAAGAAATTGTTTAAGAAGTCAAAAGAGGACCTAGATGTGAATGGGGGGTTTAGGAGGAATCCGCGCATGCACCCTCGAGAGATCGTGCTTACATTGACTTCCGTATTTGACTACAGAGAAAATTAACGCAAAACAAGATTTCAAAACAATCTGGAAAGTATAAAAGTGAAAAATGCAAAAAGGTGAAAAGTTCCGCAACACCGTTCGCCTCGCCATACGGGTCCAGCCCATGAGGCAGCTGGTCGTAGAGCCGGAGAAGAAAGACGCGAAGAAGTCGCAGTTCTTCGATGTCGGCATGTTCAAGAGGAGAGAGAAGAGAACTCTGGGCATATTGCCGCGCAACATCAAATCAATCTTGAAGAAGTCTCCGCAAAATCGAACTGAACTCGAGATCAATGACTCCAGTAAAATTCTTCAAGAAATTTTATTTTTTAAGAAGTTTCCTGAAGACGTCTTGAGGAAACTTACCAGAAATCTGTTCCTGGCGACTTTCATGAAGGATCAGGTTCTGGTGAGGCAGGGCGACAGGGGATGGGCCATGTATGTGATCTACGACGGCCTGGTTCAGTCGACAGTCGAGATCCTGGAGGCTAGCGGCCTTTTCCCCTACTTGGTCGAACTGTCCGAGCTGGGAGCTGGCGGCACCATCGGCGAAAGCACCATGCTCACTGGCTCTAAGCACACCAACACCATTCGCTGCAAGGTCACAACCAATTTCTTCGTCATATTTAAAGAGGATTTCGACGATATTCTAAGAGAATATTTCATTCACGAACACGATAACGTAATCAAGGCACTTTACACTTTGAGAAGCTTCAATAAAATCAACTGGAGCAACACAACTTTTGAATCGATTGTGTCTAACTCCAGAATGAGAATTTATAAACGAAACGAAGTTATTATAGGAAAAGATCTTGAACCTTTTTGGGCGTATTTCATCGTAACTGGAAAGTGCAGAATGGCACGGCTGATAGAGTGCATAGAGACAAAGTCCCCCACAAAGGTCGAAATAACTCCCTACAGACCTGGAAGACGTCTAGGCAAGAAACAAAGATACCTTAAGAAGATCCTGCAGATCTGTGTTCTGCAGCGGGACCACTACTTCAACGTCGGAGAGAATCTTCAAAAGACGTTTTTCATCACGGATGAAGAGACCAGCATCCTCCTGACGCCGCTTCTTCTCTTCAACCGCTATTTCGACAGTTCCTTCCAGAGGAAGCTGTACCAGGACCTGGTGAGGGAGCTTCCCACGTACCGCAGGATCCTGCAGCTGTACGCCGAGCACATCAACTGGGACCATCACCGCACCACGCTGGTGCAAGAGGTAATGGCCGGATTCCACCACATCTCCCTCTCGCACCAGCCGGCCCAACAGAAGGTTGAGTGGAATAAATATTTCTGAAAACCTGAGCTCTCTCTGAATAAACATGCCAATTAGGAAATTCCGTGTGCTAATATTGTAGCAAAGTATTTATTATTTTATTAACAGAGTATCATTTTTATCTTTATATTTTTCTACTCTGTAAACTTCCCTCATTGCTTATCTTTTGTTTATCATTCATAGTTTGTTCTTACCTTGAATAAATTGCTGTGTCATCCTGAAGTTTGTCTTTCCTAATTTACCACGTGGCATTTTGGTGGAGTTGCTGGGTAAATTAGGGAAGACAAACTGAATATATCGCTGAGAAGACCTAGAGGCCATGGGTGCTGTGATCTACACTTTCGGAGATTGACACCAGGATTCCACCGCCGCGTCAAAGCCAAAACTTCCCTCCATGAAGACGATGTCCCTATAGACGATACGATGACAAAGCCGCTCTTCACGCCGCAAGAAAAAGGACGCAAAGGTATTAGGGACAAAGTTACAAGACTTTGATGGAATCCTTGGCAGAAGCACGTCAGATCCATGTCAGTAACCACAATAATTGCAAACTGTGGGTCACAGCTCCCATAGGGAAGGAGCTATGTAACAAAGTATTTTTATTTTATTAACAGAGTATCATTTTTATGTTTATATTTTGCTACTCTGTAAACTTCCTTCTTTGCTTATCTTTGGTTTATCTTTCATAGTTTGTTCTTACCTTAAATAAATTACTGTGTCATCCTGAAGTTTGCCTTTACTAATTTTCCACGTGGCAATATGATAGTGTTCTTTATATTTCACAATTCTCAACATGTTTTACACATCAGTTTCCAAATATAACTTTCCTTTTTGGAACTCCGTTTCCGCCAAAAATAGTACAGTTCTTTCCTGATCGTGCTTCCACGGGGGCGTCCGCAGAAGCTCCCAGTATTGTCGACAAAATACAATTCCCACAGATTCAGAATCAACCAAAATCAAGTTCCTATCAACGCCTGTTATGAGGGATCCATGCCAGGCAAATAGTCACCTCTTAAGCTTCGCTTGATCGACAAGTGTTCTCTATACAAAAAATTCAGAGTAAAGAACTAGTATATATTAACTGTCTTCTAATAATACTGGCTCTTTAAACATAGGACAATAACGCGCCATCTATATCATAAGAAATGAACTACAAAGTACGTATATATATTTAAAACTTAATCTAACAAATTTCTACTGTTCTTACTTTAATGAAAATTATATATTGGGAGGGCTTTTCTCATCAGTGGTGAACACTCCCAGCGATTTCGCCAATTTAATCTAGCAGACCGCTTCTTTAGAGATCTAATACTGTATTAGACGATTCTGCTTATATATGCTACACTGAATGGTGGAATCTTAGAAATGGTATTTAAGTAACTATGGACATAAGCTTTTAGGACAGTAGAACTACATATAGATATGAAACAATAGTACAAATGTGATATTGTACTGGGATAAGGTACATAAATTTAAAAAAAGGCATCTCCTTATCGTGCAACTGAAAGTTACTGATGGCTTGCGCCATCTATCGGAATAAATATCAACTATTCTCGTTGATACAACAGCCCGAAACGCGTCCGTGGTTAGCTTTTCTTGATTAATCAAGAATGGGTATTTGGCCATTAAAAATCAACGAGAATAGTTGATATTTATTCCGATAGATGGCGCAAGCCATCAGCAACTTTCAGTTGCACGATAAGGAGATGCCTTTTTCTTTACATATAGATATGTTTGTCCCCTCCAAATATTTTTCATCGCATTAAGAACAGTTTCACACACATTTGGTTTGAAAGAAACATTTGTGATTTGTAGTTTTATCTCTATATATCTCTATATATATATATAAAAGTCAATTCCTGTCTGTCTGTCTGTTTCGCGATAAACTCAAAAACTACTGAACCAATTGGTACCAAATTTTGCATGTCGCTTTTTATAAACCTGAGGAAAATTTTTGGATACAATTTGCTTAGTATTTTTGGCTATTTCTTTTTTTCATTTGAAGAACTTTTTTTTTTACGCGGAGTAATCCGGAATGGAATGAATACCCAAATATGGCCATTTTGTATACGCATCGGTAGCTCAGTGGTAGAATGCTCGCCTGCCACGCGGGCGGCCCGGGTTCGATTCCCGGCCGATGCATTTTTTTTTTTAACAATTTTTAAAACTCATTTATATTATATCTTCTATATATATAAAAATGAATGTTTGTATGTTTGTTTGTTTGTTTGTTTGTTGGTTTGTATGTCCGGTATACAAATTCGCAGTAGTTCACTAAATCAAACCAAAATTTCCATACATAGGTAAAAAAATACGAGGAAAACGATAGACTATTTTAAATTATATATAAATTAAATATTAAAACTATATATTCAAATTATTCTACTTAGCTCACGAACAGCGCCCTCTATCAAGGTTATAAATACGTTTAAAATCGAAATCTTCTCAAAATTTTATTAATAATAGTTCGCTTAATAATTAGAATACTTGATCTAAATCGAAATATTTATAGACGCTCGCTCGATTTGAAGATTTATATCGTAACTAATCTGACTGTAAAGTTTGGAGCGGGACGTTTCACAAGAGTGACATCCACGGCGCCAAATTATAATTGTAACGAATAGTGTTTGAATAAAACATTTAATCGGGTAAACCCGGGCGTTGCCCGGGTCATTCGTCTAGTTCCTTATATATACTGGCTTTCTGTATGTAAGCAATAGTTACACAGAAATTATTGGAAAGAAGAAAAATAGAATTCGGGTAAAAAGCTTATTTTATTTTAGGTTTTTTGCAAGTTTCGAGAAAATTTGCCCGTTGAAAAACAAAAAAAAAAAAAAGCTCGAAATCTTGCAAAAACCTAAAATAAAAGAAACTTTTTACCCGAATTCTATTTTTACCTTTTCAAATATACTGTTTTTTTATGATGATGATATCTCAATGTCAGGAGCTATGTTAGAATGCTGTAATCACAAAAAATAGATGTCCATAATTTGATCAGGAACTATCAAGGTCAGGTCTCCAAGGAGGAGTCAAACAATAGTTTGCCTAGTGGACATGGCATCTGCCCGGTAAGCGGAACATTGTGGGTTCGATTCCCATCCCTGGACACTTATTTTTCCGTTCATCATTACTCTTCATAATTCACCCTTTCATACCTCATCCAAAAAGGTTAGAAATAGTCAATATTTCACCTTGAAATAAATTTTGATTTTTCGTTGAAAAGAAAGTCATGCGGTGTAACTTCAAGTGTTGTTTTATAAACAATAGTTGTGTAAGTTAAACTGTCGAAACCGCTGTTCACCACTGATGAGCCAGGCTTCATCTTCTATTCAGTTATTTAAAATATTTGTTATTATTATTCTTTTACTAGCGCAAAAATAGTTTCACTTGAAATGAATAATAATCAGTGAAGTAAAATAAGTCTGCTAGTAGACCTAACTCTGGTCATTGTTGGACATGGGCTCGAAGTGGGGTGCAGTGAAATTTTTCCCAATATTGTACATGTGTTCGAAGTACGGACATTGAAAGACTTTGCCCAGTGTTGGACATGGAATCTAAGAGGGGGCAGTGGAAATATTTTGTTCATTGTTGGACATGGACATGAAAGCTAGCATAATATTTATTAATCTCAATAAACGTCTTAGTTTAGTGTTTATTTTGACGGAAAGATACCACTTCTTTTTTTTTTTTTTTTTTTTACAGAACAGAATCATTATTTAAGAAAAAGGCATCTCCTTATCGTGCAACTGAAAGTTGCTGATGGCTTGCGCCATCTATTGGAATAAATATCAACTATTCTCGTTGATTTTTAATTATTCCAGAATTGGCCAAATACCCATTCTTGATTAATCAAGAAAAGCTAACCACGGACGCGTTTCGGGCTGTTGGCCCCCATTATTGAATCATTATTATTAGAAAAAAAGCGAAAAGCAATTTTTAAAATTGCCAATTTCACAAACCATGAACTTTCTTATTGTTGGAAATAGACTCGAAGAAAGTTAATTGAATTATTTTGGTCATTTTTGGACGAGGATTCAAACGAGAGAATTAAAAAAACATTATAATACACTGCAGCATGTGATTGTAAAACAACACATGAAGTTACACCGCATGAGTTTCTTTCCAACAAAAAATCAAAATTTATTTCAAGATGAAATATTGACTATTTCTAACCTTTTTGAATGAGGTATGAAAGGGTGAATTATGAAGAGTAATGATGAACATTGTTGAACAAGGACTCGAAGATGGGTGGGGATAATTTTTTATTTTAGTTGGACATGGACCTGAGTGTCCACTCACAACGTCCACACACAACGCCCACTGAAATGGACACGACGGCGTTCTTTCCGGTCGAGAGACCAGCTCAACAACTTTACCTAGTTTTTAGGAACTCGAGTAACAAGCCGTGATCGTCTAGTGGTTAGGACATTGCGTTGTGGCCGCAATAACCCAGGTTCGAATCCTGGTCACGGCACATTTTTTAAAAATTGGAATAAAATATAAATATATTTATATATTATTTTTTTATGTTTGTGTAGAGAGCGAGAAAGAGAGTTTGTGTTAAATATGGACTAAATTGACAAATTTGACCACAGGAACAAGTGGAAGACATCGACTCCTCACATCCTCTATTCAACCACCTCGCTAGATATACTAACAACGCTCCAACATGACGCCGTTTTTCATAAATCGTTATTTGATTACAAATGCATACGTATATACTAGTATGTATTCAGAGAAAAAATCAGGCTGTGTTTTTTCTCGGAGTCAACATACAATCAACAATCGTACAATCGTACAATCAACAAAGAATCTTCAGAACTATATATGTATTGTTGTTATAGTCGAAGATATTGAAGCGATTGTGGAAAATTAAATAAATAGATTGATATAGAATAAAATGAAAGACAATATCTCATTTTGAAGATATTATTGTAAACTTTTAGTTGAAGATTTCGCGAGTTTACACTGATTTACCAACCGGGAGCATAGAATTCTAATGATTATACAGCTCTATATTTGAAGATAAAGTGTTATTTATTTGTTATGGCTAGCGTTTTCTCCAATGTCACAGTTCCGTCACTTATTGTAGGAATCTACCGGCCGATAGTACCCTGCAAGGGCTCCTAATCCAGGGATACAGGTTGAGCAGTGTTTGTACTCCATGTTAGGAGCGGCTGCACATGGCGTCTGTTCCTCATGTCAGAGGCAGCCATTTCTTTTGGAGCTAAGTCGGCCTGCCACTGAGTAGTGCTCCCAGTCTTAATGAAAAAGACAGACACATTCTACTTCACCCAGTGTGGAGATAAGAAAGAAAGAAGAAAGATCTACCGCTGCACGTAACTTCAGTCTCTATGACCACTCCTTCCTATTACTGCCGATTCTGGACGTGTATTTTGTCGCATTTATCGGTCGTGTTACCCGGATATGGCGAACGAGGTCGTATAGGACATCTGTCATGTCATAACTGACACAAGTGACTGTCGCACTCCCCCCAACATATCAATCAAACCAATGTGTCAATTTTGTCTCTCTTCTTACGTATCACCATCAAGACTGTCACAAACTTATACGGACATGTCCATTCAACCAGGAAACCACACCTTCAAAAGGCAAGTTGTTTTCAATTCATTTTATTCCTTTTAATTGGTGTATTTGGCGTTAACTCCACTAAACATCGACATATACCTTTGTCAGAAATAATTAATAAAAAAATTCCTTTAAAAAAAGATTTTTAAAAATGAACTAAAAAGTAAAAAAATAAATAAAGGAAAATTTATACATTTGCATTGTTAATTGGACTGAGCGAAGTGTTCAAATTGGCATACTTCTATGTGGTCTGGAAGAATATTGTAACAAAGTATTTATTAATTTTATTATTTTTATTAACAGAGTAGTCATTTTTATGTTTATATTTTGCTACTCTGTAAATTTCCCTCGTGGCTTATCTTTTGTTTATCATTCAAATTTTGTTCTTGCCTGAAATAAATTGCTGTCTCATCCTGAAATTGGTCTTCCCTAAAAGAAAATTTGTCAACTTGTATTTTCATCGGGTTCTAAAACGTGTGCAAACTTTCATATTTCCACGTGCTCTGGAGGTATACTAAATATTGATCACAAGATTTGTGTGGACAGATCGAAAAACATGGAAGCGTGTTAATTGAAAGCTTTTTAAAATATCTAAAACAAGATAGAATATATCCAGGCTCCTTGCATATGCCTCTCTTAGTTGATAGGAAAATATCAATTTACTATTCCAATCTATACGATGCATTAGCGCGCCATATGTTATAAAAAATGTGAACTATTTTTGACGGGTATGATTCTTTTTCAATAAATAAATTTTCTACTGCCCTTACTGCAGTGATAAAATAATGGGAGGGCCTGACTCATCAGTGGTGAACCCTCCCAGCGGTTTCGCCAGTTTAATCTATCACACCGCTGTAATATTGCATCGCCAACAGGTCTCTAGCGACACCGCGTATTTCGTAGACGAAGTAAACGTAGATCGCGTGCTTCGCCGCTGAGAAGATTGTGATGGCGTAGTCCTCGAGACCTACTGGAAAGTTAGTGAAGAAAAGGACAAGAGATATCGAAAGAACGACCAATGTACAACGATGTGATGTTCTGATAGCGACACCAGCTGGGACATTGCTTTGAAGTTGTTTACTGGTTGGAACTCCGCCTTTGCCGGTCCCAAGCCCGGATGAAAAAGTTGGAGGGGAAGCAGTAACAAGCTCACTGAAAAACCTGGGCTCAGCTGGCCCGGCTGATAGTACCCTGTAAGGGCTCCTAATCCAGGTATACAGGATGAGCAGCGTTTGTACTCCATGTTAGGAGCGACTGCACATGTTGTCTGTTCCTCATGTCAGAGGCGGCCATTTCTTTTGGAGCTAAGTCGGCTTGCCACTGAGTAGTGCTAACAGTCTTAATGACAAAAGCAGACGCATTCTACTTCACCCAATCATTATGGTTGTCAACTTTACAAGCTTGATAACGTAATATGATTGAGTGGAGATAAGAAAGAAGAAGACAGAATGGAAGCCATGTCCCCTCACCTCCACGGATCCAGCTGGTCAAGATAAGGAAAAACAGGACAATCGATCGCCACTTCGGTTGTTCACGTAAGTTTATAAAAATTATCACTATCTATTAGATATACGAATCTCCAGAATAGTAATTGAAATAATACAACAGATTTCTGGAGATGGGTTTCATTTAATTATTGTATTCTCAAGCTGTCGGGAATTTCTGCAGGAGTACATGGATAAAACGACGTTAGATACTAACGGTTATTGATATTTATAGATATGCTTTTAATTATATATTTTTAAAAAATTGGGTTTTTTCCACTTTTAATTACAAGAATAATATTCTGTGTTTCTCAGAAAAATATCTTCTTCTTATCTGTTATCTTGTTTACACACTTGATAACAGTAATTATTTAAAACATTCTATGGTAAAATTTATCATTCCCATTCAATCTTTCAAACAAAATTCTCAAAGAAGATCTCAACCAGCCTAATAGAGAAGAGATTTATCAAGACTCTGCGACAAGACTATTCTCGCAATTTCAAAAATCATCAAATCCAACTATACAAGAAATTGCTAAAAACAAGGTGACCTCAGTCACCGAATCCGACGACCTGGACCCAATGGCTAGCTGACAGCCAAACACCCAACAACTGCCCTCCTGTAAGGTTCGGGGGGCCACTCCAGCATTACAACTCGCCATGTGTAAATAATCTGGACAAGGTGACTCGCGAGCTGTGCTCGAATGTAACACCTGCAAATTGAGATGAAATAAATAAATAAATTTCTCATTCAGTACTTTTGTCTGAAGATGGTAACAACACTGAAATGTCACACAATATTTATTTATTTGGATTTGGTCTTATTACCTTGTTTTATAAAATGAAAAGAAAACCATTTTCAGAAACCTGTTGCATTATTTAAAAAAAAATAATATTATTATCCCTAGTACACATGGTACAGGCCATGATAATCATGGTGGGTAGAAGTTGGTGATAGCTATTACTGTAAGTACACCACATGTCTACACATGTGAAAAGCGCGTAATTTGATTTTTGCACTTACAAGTATAAGT